TATATATATATATATATGCAACATAAAAAGCTTCAATTAATCTTTTTATGTTAGTTATATTCTGAATATCCTTTTATTTTATTTTATTTATCTAATCTAAACACTTTCTCACACTTTTAAATTCACGTCCTGGCCTTAAATCTATTTTTGGATCAACTATGCATTAATTAAAAGCAGGACATTTTTCCCTTCAATCTCCTTGGGAATCACTCAACCTATTTCATAAACCAATAGTAATTTCTAAGATTTCTCTTTTTTCCCTAAATAGAGACATTTACGGATTTTACTTTGCGAGATTTTCCCTAACATATGCGAGGAGCGCAACTTTTCGTGTACACTTTTCATGACTGCTCTGTCTAATAATTAATAAATAAATATTGCACCCTCCTTCCCGGCCTAAGACCTGTTTTAATCCTTCCACTCGGCAAGGACGTTATAAGATGCCAGGATTGAACGGTCCGGAAAGGGTACAGTACATTAAAGATATGTAATATCGCATTTGAAATTCGAGGTTACATCAAGAATATGGAATAACTTCAAATAACTAATTCAAATGGACAGTTGGTAAATAAGCAGTCAAATTCTTCTTCAACTAATGGCAATTCATAATTCAATCAGTATCTTCAACAACAAAAAAATTATTCAATCATCGAACTTTTCGTTTATTTAAATGATACCTACGCCCCGTGGAACTTCACTTAAAGATTATCGACTTTCCTTTTGTGTATGCTGCATGTTATGTCTACGTTCTGAAGGCGATGAATACAATGCTACTAGAAAGTTGAGCTTCAATTTCTTTCACACACCCCCTGGACTAAAAAGAAAAACTACAATGGGCACCTGATAGATGTTAAAAAGTTTTTGATTTGAAAACCCGTCCCTTCCGGAAAGCTTTGATTTTGCCTCTCCCAGTGCTGATCTAGATTTTATCGTCAATAAATTGTTCTCATCCCGCCTCAATTCTAGGAGATTTATGAATCATCTTAACGAAGAAAATTTTTTTTCCCTAGCAGCGCTCGTCTTTGCTTTTTGAATTGTGTTCATGGAATTTCAGCGAACTTTCATCTATGATGTTGCGGTTTTGAAAATATCTTCTCGGACTAATTCGAACTTTCTCACATATCCTTTGTGGTAATTTTTTTTACAATTCTCATAAAACAATTTCCTTAATTTTTATTGATTAATAAAAAAAAGCACTCATGTAAATAACCAAAAATCATAGATTATGATTTTAAATTTTCGTTTCTAATACTTGATGTTTCAATTGAAAAAATTATTTTTTATACATTGATCGTATTTACTGTTGAAAATTTTTTTTTCTTGAGAAATCTTTATTTTCAGTGAATTGATTGCTTTGGTTGACATAAAAAATTTTTGGAGAAATTATTTTCATATTTATTGTTTTATGTGTTACAGTTTTTATGATTTATTGATTAGTAAAATTCATATTTTTGTTTTACTATAGTGTTTAGGGTTAAGATGAAAATGTCATTAAAATATTCTTATTTTGATTCTTATTTGATTATTATTATTGCAATTGCGGTGTGGTAGAAATTATAAATTAAATCAAGAAATGATAGAACCAATAAAAATAATTTGGAAGATTAGTAAAATACTTGTTTTTAGAATTTGAATTGAGTCCAATGTTGGTAATTAGTTCACAGCTCTGTTCTAGCTCATTAATTTCCATGAACAAACAAAGTTTCTTACTGCTGAGAGTGAATCCCAAAATAAAGATAAAGTGACCAAACACAAATTGAAAAGTAATAGTAACCAAATACACTTCAAAAACATGTATAAAATAGAGATGAAAATGTGACAATTGTGACAAATTAAATTACCAATTAAGATCTTTACACAAAAATTACTTTTAAAAATATCCGAACTAAAATTTTTGTAAAAAAAANACTTTCTCACACTTTTAAATTCACGTCCTGTCCTTAAATCTATTTTTGGATCAACTATGCATTAATTAAAAGCAGGACATTTTTCCCTTCAATCTCCTTGGGAATCACTCGACCTATTTCATGAAAAAAAAAATTATGTCCAAAAAGAAAGAAAGGTATAAATGGAAAAAATAAAAGGTAATTTGCAAATTAACCAAACTTGCACTTCAGATTAAAAATAAGGAAAATAGCTAGATCAAGCAAAAATTAAAAACTGATTTACCTTAATACCATATAAAATTTGAAAGCTAGTTTTGGATTTCACTTAGTGATAAATTGTGTTAAATGGGTTGTAGTGTAAAATCTGAGAAGACTGATCACCTTTTCTGATTATAAAAGCAATTTGTGTTTGCACATTTCCTGAAATCCGGGTTAATAATTGCAATAAAAATACCAAGAAAGAAAATAAAAGTATAAAAAATATAGAAAGTAGAAAGAAAAGGAAAATAAAAGAGAGAAAAGAAAAAATGTTACAGAAAGCAAATTTTGGACATAAGAAAAAGAAAAAAATTTTCCCGGATATTTTGCTATTAAAGAGATAAATATGAAAGGTAAATAATAAATAAAGTGAAAAAAAGACAATACTGAAGTCAAATTTCAGATTGAAATTTTTCCTGTAAAACTGTTTTTTGTATTATGTGTTACTTACATTTTAACTTACAACATTTTTAAAAGATGTTTATAAATTTTTATCATCCTGATTGAAGAGTTAACTTAAATTGTGTTATTATGAAGAGTACTTCTTTTAGTGAAAAAACTGTGTTGTGATGTTTAAACAAAACTTGGAACTGAAAAAACTGTTGAAAATGAAAATTTTAAATTTGCTCATAATGCTACAACAGATTTTTAATTGCGTTAAAATTTTTACCATGAGTGCAAATGTAAATTTTTTGTAAGTCGTATTACTTTATATCTTGTTAATATTACAAATTTGATTATTTTCATTTTAATTGTGCTTTTTAGCAGAGGGAAGATTTTGCAAATAGATAATTTTTAAAATTTTTGGATTGTAACTAAACAATTTTTGGCGAGGGAGAATGCAACATAAAAAGCTTCAATTAATCTTTTTATGTTAGTTATATTCTGAATATCTTTTTATTTTATTTTATTTATCTAATCGAAACATTTTCTCACACTTTTAATTTCACATCTTGTCCTTAAATCTATTTTTGGCTCAACTATGCATTAATCAAAAGCAGGACATTTTTCCCTTTAATCTTCGTGAGAATCACTAGACCTATTTCATAAACCAATATAGTAATTTCCAAGATTTCCCTCTTTTCCCTAAATAGAGACACTTACGGATTTTATTTTGCAAGATTTTCCCTAACAAATAACCGAGGAGCGCAACTTTTCGTACACACTACACTTTTCATGACTGCTCTGTCTAATAATTAATAAATAAATTTTGAACCCTCCTTCCCAGCCTAAGACCTGTTTCAATCCTTCCACTCGGCAACGACGTTATATATAGAGAGAGAGAAATATACAATGATAAAACAATTGAAAATGTAAATACTTTAGTATCTTTAGGAAAACTGATATTTTAATAAACAAAAGTAAACTATCATTTTATAAAAGGGTTTTTTCAAAACGTTTACAAAATAGCAAGATTAGATGAAGGTTCTGAATAAATAGATTAAAAAAAAGAAACAAATCAATCACCTTCACAGTATGGGTAGTTGTAAAAGCCTTCTTTGCAATGATCACATTTTGAACCATCAAAATTCTTGTGGCACACGCATTGTCCATCACTGTCACAAGATACGCCATTAGATCCTACGGACTCACAATCACAGGCTGCAAAATATTACAAATGTTTTCAAACATCTGACAATAAACTTGCATGTAGTGGGCTGTTAGAAAATATTAAAATGTGGAATTTTCAAGGTCAACGTGTCTAGTTTTTGCTTCTTTTTTTTTAATGGTGGTCTTCATTTGCTTTTTTTATTTCATAACTTACATTTCTCATTTAATTAGATTTACTTTATTGACTTCTTAATAACAAAATATAACTAATTTGTTAAAAATAATTTTAAATTTTGCACCAGATGTAGATTGCATATGCCCACCTATTAGTTAGATTTATATATTTGCATTATGATTTCAGGTATTTTTATGTATACAGCAAAATTTTGGCAGATAGTTTCATAGAGATAAAACTTGGTACATAAAAATGCAATATTAATAGCATAAATCAAGTATTTTTTAAAAGGCAGTTTTATTCCCTTGAAAAAATGAAACCAGTATGTTCGAAATTTCCATAGTGTTTGATTGTGCAAAGTAATTTAGGCATGAAAATCGCAATTAAATCAAAAGTTTTTTCAGCAAGCAATCCTTATTACAGAAGGATTAGTATGTTTTAAAATTAGTTTTACCTATTTCACCTTCAACTTTTGTATCCCATTAAATTCATTTTATTGAATTGTTATTTATTACTTAAATAATGAAAAATGCAGAATTTTTAAAAGATGCTTAAAAATTTTCAGCCATTTCGGCTAGATTTATTGGGTTGGGCTTAAAACTTCTGAGGTCATTTCTTTTACTAAAAGTAGTTCCCTATTTCAAATACAAACCTCAATTTTAAAAATATTTCATGATTCGAGGAAAAAAAAGTGATTATTAATTGATTCACTAACAATAATTCAACAAAGAATTAAAAACAACATTCCACATCAATTAAATTTAAAATGATCATTTTTTGATTTTGTTCTTTCCTCAGAAAAAAAAGTTCAGCTCAATTAGCAGGCTGAAATACTATTTTTTATTTTATTATTTCTACAATTTCTTGTGATGGAGACTTATGATGGATGCAATGTAACTTTTTCGCACACCGCCATAATTTTCAACACATACAACACATTAAAACATGCAACTAGAATCACTGCAATTAAAGAAGGAAAAAAAATAATTCATTTCTTGTAACAAATTTGACAAAGCTAGTGAATTTATTTCATTTTTTAATTACATTGTTTTTTGTAAATACATTTTGTATGAATTAACATACTAAGAAATTAAAACTAATTATTCATTTACATAGATTATAAATGATCCTTAATATGTAAAAAAGTTTGATAATAGTGAATGAGACTTATATTGAACTACTTACGATGACACCTGGGAAAGTCATAGTATCCTGGCGAGCACTGGTCACACTTCAATCCTGAAAAACTGGGAAGGCACTGGCACCTCCCACTTATGTCACAGACATCCTGAAAAGATCCATCTTTGTTGCACTTACATTCTGTGAAATAAATAACAAAATAACACTTATTATCCAGTAGAAATATTTCATTGGTGGGAAGAGAGGAAAAAACTGCTGACCTTCGCAGACTGGATAACCAAAATATCCTGGAGCACACCTGTCACAGCTGGGACCACCATATCCAGTTTTGCAAAGGCAAGCACCGCTCAGACTGTCGCATATCTCCGCAACACATCCAGTTGGATCACATGAACAATCTGAAATGCATAAAAGCTATACATGGTATAGGCAGTGTACATTATTAGATTTATACAATATATGGAGAAATTATATTTTATTGGCCAGTAGAAAATTGTACCATTCTTAACAATTGCCATTTCTTAGAAAATGGAAAACTTAAAATGATTTAAAAACTTTTAATATTAATAATGTAAAACATTTCTTTTTCTCATTGTATCCCACATTTCTCTAAATGTGGTAAAAATGAGAAGGTTCATTTCTAAAATGAAGAAAAATTTTAAGAAACATGTATGAAATAAAGTAATCAGATTAAAACATTTCAAATGATTCCACATTTATTTTTTAAAAGTAATAAAATGCGCATGGTATGAATTTTCCCAAAAAAATGGTGATCGCGTGGCGATGGGCAGATAATTTTGTAAGTGCCATGTTTTTAGTCGCCCTGTGGTGACCGCTAATTTTCTCCTATATTATACGCAAGTCTTCAGACTCATTTGAGATTAGATTTTAAAATTCACATTGTTGCAGTTGCAGACCACGCCAAAGCATAAACATAGCTACGAACTTGCATTGAGAAAGGCTTTTCCTAGTGGTAATAAAATTTTGTTTTAATGTTAAATATTTATTTTTAAAATTTTCGCAAAAAAAATAAATTTTTTTACCCACAGTGACAAATCAATAATTCAAATATGTATCTAAGATTTATTAGTTAGTCATTTAGACTTTAAGCGTTGACAAAGTAGCTTAATTTTTTGAAATTCTCCTTACTTTTAGAGTTAATTTTCAATAATTAACTATAAAATTATTTTACTATGACTTTGTAAAATTCTTCCCAAAACAGTTCTCCATGAGCGAGAATGTATTTTTCAAAAAAAACACAATACAAAAAACACCAATAAACAACGAGCAATTCATTTTAATATTAAAAGTAACTGTCTCTGACAACCAGCTAGTCCACTACATTGTGAAGAAAATATAATTTTCACCATCTAGCAATCTTTATTTTCACATTATAAATTAAAGCTTATAAATCAGGTTATAAATCAGCTTATAAATCGGAAGTTAGCTTATAAATCAGCATTATGTTTAGAAGACTTAACACTTTAAATTTCTTAACAGAAAAATTAATTTAAAAAAAATAAAATTATAAATAAAGGATTAAAAAAATTACATTTAAATGAAAAGAAAAAACGAAGAAAGTTAACTGTATCCTTTTAATGGGTAAAATGCAAACTATGGAAAAGAGCAGATGGGAAGCAACAGAAAATAAGTCTTACAGTCACATGTTGGATAATTGAAGTAACCAGCCCTGCACTTGTCACATTGTCGCCCTCCGTAGTTACCTCTGCATGGACACTGACCACCCTCTTGCTCACAGATATTCCTCACTGAAGTGCTTGGGTTGCAGTTACAGGCTATACAATTACCAAAAATATAATTTCTTTAATTTTATTTCATGACAAGTAAACAAATAAAAAAGAATTAAATGAAATGTAACCAGTAGAAGAAAGAATAATGAATTCACTTGAATAATGTATTATAGGTCGTTCAATAAAACTGAATAAAAATAAGTATGTGTCCAGTAATGAACACTTTATTTAGAAATCATCCTAAATTTGAAAAACACTTCAGTCACTTTTTATAATTTGAAGACTCCATTTCTTAACACTTTCTGCTTTCGAAAAACAAATTATTTCTTTTTATTTTAAATCACAATCTCCAGTATCACTTTCCTCAATTTCAATTTTTTAAAATGAAATCAAAAATCAATTTAGTTTTGACGTCATAGTAACTTTAAAAAAAATTAGTAAATAAAAATGATTAATGAAAAACAAAAACATTAAAATTTCAATTTTTAAGCATCAAAACTCCCCTATGCGTTACTGTGGCGTAACTACCACTATAAATATTAAATACCAATTCACTAGTATATAAGACATGTTAACTTGAATCCATCACGAGGTACCTTTTGATAGATGAAGGTTGACGTAGTCGAAGATTAATTCCCCCCACATTGGTGACCTACGGACGTGATAAGAAATTGTCAATATTGATGGATGAATCCACATTAAAAACAGTTGATTTGCTTTAATAAAAAATAAAAAATAAAAAAAAATCCGGTGAAGTAAATAAAGTCTCCCGGTTAATAAATAATAATGAGCGAAATGCTAGAAAAAAATAATAGTAGCGAAAAGCTATAAAAAAATGATGGGAAAAAATAGCGAAAAGCTATTTAAAAAAATAACGAGCGAAATGCTTGGAAGAAGAAAAATATATATATATAATCAGCAAAAATTGAAGGTAATAAATAAAAACAGCATTAATCAACTAGTGGTAATTGTTCATCGAATTCTATCACACATAAAATTCTGGAAGGGGAGTAATGTGGCGTAACTACCACTACAAATATTAAATACCAAATCAATAGTATATAAGACATGTTAACTTGAATCCATCACGAGGTACCTTTTGATAGATAAAGGTTGACATAGTCTAAGATTAATTCCCCACATTACTGATAATTGGATTTCTAGTATGGATTATAATTCATATCAAATTAGGAGAATAATTTTGTTTTCGAATTTGCACAGTGCTAGTAAAAACATAAAAACAAAATATTATCAATTATTCGTTTTTACCTTTAATTTACTACAATAGGGAACCGATTATCCGGAATGATCGGGACCATTGCTATTTCGGATAACTGATTTTTCCGGTTTGCTGAATCGCTACAAAAAGCTGCTTTTTTTTTAATTGTTAAACCCAACTAAAAAAAAAGTATCTGGAAATAATCTTAAAAAGAAGAAAAAACGATGAAGTAATACACTAATGATTATTTATAAAATGATGGTAAGGTAAACATCTTTCAAAAAAGAAAGAAAAATCCTAAAATCTTATGAGGAAAAAAAAAACTTTTTTTAAAAAATGGCGGGAAAATTTATTGAATTTCGTTCCGGTTTTTTGGTTTTCCGGTTTTCTGATTTCCGGATAACGGGTTCTGTACTGTAATATGAAATTAAAAATGTAATAAAATTTTTAAAAAATTAATTTTTTTATTAAAATAAAGTATAATTTGTTTGTTTTTTTTTAAAAAAAGGTAACTTTTTAATTTCTTATACAGCGTTTGCCTTTTTTCTGACAAAAACAAACAAACTTTACTTGTTCCGTATACCAAGCTTTTTATTTTCCCTGAGAAAAGCTAGGTATAGATCATAAGCATAAAGCTAGGTATATGGTAAATCATACTTTTTCCCTGACAAATTCTTGGTGCTAACCTGCATATCTCAGTGTGTAAAAAAGGTTTACCATGTCATTTGTTTTCATATTTGAATAATTCTAAAATGAGAGATTAAAATAAAAATTTAAAAGAGAATCTACCCATAATTATTAAAAAATTCATGTCTTGAAAATGGTAATGATAACAATAGTTTGGCATGAAGATAAATGCAAGTAAATTTTATGAATCCCATTCTTTGAATTTTACCTTCTCTTACAATCTTATCTTCTTCGTATAAGGCCTTTCGACTAATTCTTCTTTAAAAATGTCAAAAGCACTGGTAGTTTTAAAAAAAATTTATAAGAGCTATGAACCATTTTAATCCATTCATTTAGTCCACCATAAAAAGATGTAGGTAAGAAAAAATTATAAAGAACAAAACAACATACGTATACAGTCGGGGAATCCAAAGAATCCTTCTTGACAAGTGTCACAGTTTCTGCCTCCATAGTTGGATTTGCACGGACACTGTCCACCACCAACTTCACACACATTGCCATACGTTCCATTTGGATGACAGTCGCATAGCTTGCAAGCAGGGTAGCCATAGTAGCCAATGTTACAGTCGTCGCAATAGGGTGGTAAGAATTCTGGGCGGCACTCACACTGCCCAGTTCCATCGGCACAATTTCCAGTAGAGAAAGCTAAATCGCAGTTACAAGCTGTGAAAAAAATACGGTGCATTTTATTTTTTACAGTATATAACTGACAAGCAGGTTATCTATTTTTTTAAATACTCACGTTGACAAACGTCAGTTGCATTCAATGGTTTTCCATAAGGTCTGTAAAATGTAGGCTTGCACTGATTGCAGTTGACGCCTTGAGTATTATGACGACAGTTCTGACAAATTCCACCCCCTTCATAGTGTCCATAAATATCTAGACTCAGCCTATTTCTGTCAGTTTCTTCATCATACACACACTCGTTGGAGTGTCCAAAGCAGTTACACGCTGTACATAAACACACAGAGTTAAAAGAACAGTTACAATTGCAAATGAATACATTTTGAATTGAATTAACATATGCACACAAAAAAAGTTTCTGCTGTAAAAGTGGTTCCAAAAATGTGTTAGGTGGAAACTTATGTGAAAGGATTCCAGGGGTTCCAAGAGTTAGGACTTTTTAAACGAGTTATGTTTTATGAAAGATGTAATTATATTTATGTCCATAATTTATTCAATATACAATTTATTCTTATGAAATTATTTAAATAAAATTCCAATAGAAAAAAAAAAGATTGCAAAATTTTTTGAACTATTGATAAAAAGCATTTGAAGCATTGATGAAAAATTGCATCACTTTTCTCTTCAAACTTTTCAAGTCAAAATAAAATGACTAAATTTAAGAATTCCCCAAAATATGCTTATGGTACATAAAAGAAGAAGAAGAAAAAGATTGCATTTGCTCTGTTGACAGATACCTAAGTAGGAAAATGCACCAATATTTTCATTAAGAAGTGTTAGTTTCAAACCTTACATTCAAAATAATTTTAATTTTGTAGTTCCTTTTTAAACTTTTTGTCTATATCCAGTTGATTCTCTTATTTAATTCAGGGTACAGCAAGGTGTCAAACTAACATGAATTTTTTCTCTGAGTTCACGAGTAAAGAATTAAAAATAGAGATTATACTGGAAAGAACAATAAGTATAACACATCTCTTAAAAGAGTACTTCTTTCAGCAAATGAAATTAATAATTATAACAATTGTATTATATTAATATTATAAAGTATTTAAAGAACTAGAGCAGCTATAGTAGATGCTTTCTCTGCACTTGAAGCAGCAGCAAAAAACATAGGACTGTCAGTCGATGATGAAAAAACTAAATTCATGGCAATAACAAGCAGAATTCCAAATCTACAAACCACTGAAAATTAATGAATATGAGTTTGAACAACTGGCTCAATTTACATATTTAAGTACAATAGTGAACAATAATAATGACATAAAAATTTAAATCAAAAATAGAATTAACATGGCTAACAGATGTCATGGATTGAGAAAACAGTTCAAATTTAAATATATAAGTTTTGAAAAAAAATACAGTTGTATAAGACACTACTGAGACCAACAGTTTTATATGGCAGCGAATGCTGGGAAATTAACAAAGCAGATGAAGAGAAACTGATTAGAAACTGATTGAAACTGAAACAAGAGAAAATTATTAATAAATATTTTTGGTGCTGTAAGAGAAAATGGAAACTGGAGAATCTGTTTCAGCCATAAATTACAATCAAAATATAAAGAACCTATTATAGTAAAAATGATTAACGTTTCTCAAATAAGGTGACTAGGACATGAATTTCAATACAGCGATAAAATTCTTGTTAAGAAAATAACCTTCCAAACACCAGAGCAAAAAAGACCTAGAACAAGATGGTCAGATAGATTAGAGAGGTGGTTAAAGGACTTGGGAGTAAATAGATGGAGAAATATAGCATTGCATAGATCTAGATGGGGTAAACTGACTGAGACAGCCTTGGCTGGTGACAGGCTGTAGTGCCTAAGAAGAAGAAGTCTATAAAGAAAGCAAAATTAGACAAAGAATAACAGATATAAAAAAATAATTGATAGTTTTTGTTTGTATTTAACTAATTTTCTTCAGAAATATTCAAAAACATCATGAATATGCTTTTAAAAAAAATAAGGATTAGAAATAAGGTTATTTTTGGATCTCACTACACACGCAGGAGTAAAAAAGAATACAAACTTCTGAAGTAATAGGAAATGATAAAAAAGAAATTTTAGTTTATCTTAAAACAAAAACTTATTCTATGTTTTAAACTATATAGTTTTAAGCTAAGATTTTATTTTATTTCACAACTTTGTCAGCAAAAGAGCAAACCAATACACAAACCAAGCAGTTAAACAACTCTATATACTCGCAATTTTTTATGAACGTCGAAAAGATGGGAATTTCTCAAGACACTTAATGGGCTTGCTTAAAGCCTTCCTTTGAGTTACAAAAATGACAAAACACATTCCACAGAATAACTTTGTAAAAGCGGGGTTTGACGATTGGCTGCACCATTTAAAGTAATTACATTCAGTAGTTGACTTTCCACAGCAGAAAACGTATAAATTGCATCATGGAAATCACAAAAATAAATTTAATACAATAGTGACTATTTTAATCAATTTATTTATTGATCCAATTTTTTATCACCTATAGCTACAAACATGTTTTATTTTAGAATCGGCTTAATGAAACTGAATGTACTTAATCTATTCCTCATGTAGATCCTTGTTGGTTAGCTTGGGTATTTTGTGCACAACAGTTAGAAAGAAATGACACTGCACAAGGAATTTTCATTAATTTCAAAAAAATAAAAACTTAAGTACAAAAATAAGCAAATTAGACACTAAAATTTTAAAAATTATAGTTTAGGAAAAAAGGTGCAAAATTGTCAAAAACGAGATTTTATCAAAAAATTGTGAATGTACATTGTTTTCCTGCATAGCATCTCCAATGCACCCTTTGTTCAAGTTGCTTGTGTTTACTATTTTGCAGGCAACAAAAAAGAAACTCTTACTGTTTGTCTAAGATCCAGACTCTGCCAGACATTCTCCATAGTTGGATTTNCATAGCATCTCCAATGCACCCTTTGTTCAAGTTGCTTGTGTTTACTATTTTGCAGGCAACAAAAAAGAAACTCTTACTGTTTGTCTAAGATAGATACTCTGCCAGACATTCGTCTGGAGCTGTGGCGTTGACTATGGTAATGAGGTATGATAATTTCAAGTAGGGGTGCGGGATCCCTCTTTAGGGCTGGTTTCGGCAAGAGAAGAGACCTCTTTCATCGAAGCTACCCTCCCAAAAATGTCCTCTTCTTGTTTCCATAGCACCAGACTGCCCAGACTTAGTGGCGATCAGAGTACCTATTTTAGACAAACAGTAGCGGGTCACTATTTGTCCACCCCTGGCCTATTGGCATAAATGGATTTAGATAGGTCATGCTCACCTCTGTATACTTTTAATTTTACATTTAATTCAGAACAAAAATGTCTTCTTGAGTGACATTTGTGCCCTTGAACCCACATTTGTGTTATAGAGGTATTATAGTGATATCTTATTTAACATTGAAGTTAGGTGAGAATCAATAATTCAAATCTCTGTTTCAAAAGTTATAAAGTCTTAAAAATATCTAGCTAACAAAAGCATGAATAAAGAAAAACACATAAGGTGATAAATTAAAAATAAAAGCAGGAGGCAATTTATGGAACAACAGAGAGCTCTTGATTTTTGTTGAGAATAGTTTTTGTTTTAAATTTTAGGTTCATACTAACCTGTTATGGGTTTTTCATTTGTTTCAAGAGGTTATTACTAACATGTTACGGGTATGTTAATTAAATTTTCCCCAGTTTATGCATGGTTATTAAATAAGCACATTTTTATAAAAAAGATCTGTCTCTTTAATGCAGCTTGATTCGTTACAATGTCTGGAACCAACCCAGAAATAAAGTCTTCTAAAAAAATTCAAGACTGGAATTTTTTTTTTACCAACTAACATGGTCTAGCGTTAAGCAGAATTTTCAGAAACTTATAGCTCACTTGATTGCAAAATGTACCTTTCCATGATAATGACCCACATATTATATCAATGAATGACTGGAAAAAAACTATTTTTCTTTATTTTATTAGTTTATTTTTTACAACAAACAAAACTAAAATAACATCTAACCTCATCTATCTTTTCACATAAATTACTGAATAATACACACAACTACCTTTTTTCTTGAAGCCATTCCTATATTGACTTATTTTTCAGTTCATCATCATTAAATATTTTAGTCTAATCTATAAATTTCAATTTTTTTTAAATAAAATTAATCTGAATTAAATTTTGCCTCGCAATTAAAAACATCAGGCAGGGGAGAAAAATTCAAGCAGATTCAAATGCTGAAGTTCAATCAATCCCTTTTTTTCATTGTTGCGGTGCAACATTACAACTTGATCATTTAGCAAAAATTATGAAAAATAACAATGTTTTCATTAAAAAGCTATAATTTTTTAAAAAATTTTTTTAAATGGGAAATATTTGTTACATTTCTTTAAATCAATTATTTCTCTTCAATTCAGTTTTAGATTAGATTTAGTTCACTGATTCCTTTTTTTTTTCTTTTTTTTTTCAAGACTATTTTCAGTCCTCAGGACTGACGATTGGCACGCATAAAAAATATTTAAAACGCAGTCGAAAATAAAAATAAATCCTTACGTTCACAAACAAATGGGCTCTGTAGAATGGCACGACGCCATTTTTTTTGCTTAAAACCTGGACAACACTGCTCACAGTTTGGACCACACGTGTTATGCTGGCACCTGCACAGAAGCTTGTATGGATCTCTCGGATCAGTCAGGTCACAAGTCTCTGCGTGTCCGTTGCACACACAACGACCACCGATATTAATGTCTTTGATACTGTAGAAGTACTGAAAAAAAAGAAAATATGTCTTTCTGTAATTTTGCATCCTCGTATTAGCTCCCAATAAATAAATTGGACCAAAAGAAGTAAGTTTAGAGCTAAAAAAAGTGTCACACATTTTGAAAGAGGAATACTTACAAAATACCTTATTAAAAAATTTCAATTTTCATTTGTCATTTTTTACAAGAATTCTAAATGTATGTTCATTAAGGGTGGTCCTCGAGAAAAACCATTAAAACTTTGCCTTAACTTACACGTCTCGTGACTGTCGGATCTTGCCGAGCCACAGACATTAGGTGACCCAAGAGAGTCTTTGTTCTAAGAAACCTTAGCCTTATGTTTGTAGCTTTAGTCCACTCTTGCAGAGTCATGGAATAGGAAAAATTATCAGCATTGGGTCTGTCGTTCAGGAGGGAGACGACAATCTGAAAATGAAAAGATCAATAGGAAAGTAGGTATAAGTGGCTTTTTTGTAGAAATAAGCTTTCGTACTAAAAAGTAATTAGACAAAGATAAACCAAACACTTTAATACATTATTCAATCTTAATTCTTAAATTATTACTTACTTACTTAATCCTTGTGTTGTATTCCTTGGAACTCCATGGGTTGCACTCATGAAGGTTGTACTTATACACAAACACAAAAAATTTTCTTTTTATAACTTTCATGAGTTAGAAATCTCCTAGAGCCATTTTTTTTCTTACAAAATTCAATTCAGTTTTCAAATAGGTGATTAAAGATTCATAGCTATGTTTTTTCTTTCCTTAACAAGGAGGGGTTGCCGGTTTCTGGCCCTACACCCAAACTGAAGAACCAGGAGGTTACTCTTCTTTTCGACCCTCACTCCTGACCTGTCCGGAATGGAAGCTTTTGAAGCGAATTGAAAAATGTTTGCACGCAAAAATAAAATTCCTTTGTGCTAGGATAAATCTAAGCAAAAAATACATTTCAGTAAATATTTATTATTTTAATAAATGATAGTAAAAAAATTTTGAATTGTAATGTGTACAATTTTTCACAGCATTTTAAAGTATTTAATTTTACAAGGCAAAATACAAAATTTGAGCGAAATCGGTTTAATAGTTCCTGATAAATCGAATTTTAATTACACAACTTTTTTAAAATTAGATTTCTCAGGAACTATTCAACCGATTTTACTCAAATTTTGTATATTTGCCATGTAAAATTAATTTATTTAAAATTATGTAAAAAACAGTATACCTTACAATTCAAAATTTTTTAGACTATTACTTAATAAAATATATTTACTAAGTTTTTTTTTTTTTTTGCAAGGATTTATCTCAAGATAAACGAATTTTATAATTGCGTGAAAAAATTTTTCAATTCACTTAAAAAGTTTATGTGATATGGTGAATTACACAAAAAAGTTTTCTTAACATTAGAGGGGTCCAAACTTTGGATCGCTCTCCTGACCAAACTATGGGAACCATATTTCCTAGATTGCAGTTGCCTCTTATGTTTTGGGGGTCAGAAATTCGAATCAGCCAAAATAAAAGGTATGTTTATTCAGAGAAAGTACGCTTTTGTACTACATTTCATATTTGAGACCACCTCTTCGTACCATTAGGATTGAGTCCTAAAACGTGAAAATCCGATCATTAGATCAAAAGTTATTCAAGGTGGTCTTTTTTTTTTGCACCCTGTACACTTCTTTTATTGCTTTTAACATTTTTTTTGTATTTTATTGCTAAGGTTAAACATTATTTATAATACTTATAGATTTTCCGATATTTTTTTTAAATGCTCTTATTTGTTGGATATTAAACACTCCCAATTAAAGCAATTTTTAAGAAGTCAATTATAAGTTACTTTAATTTTTCAAAGAATTTAAATTTCCATTTTCTCTTTCATGACTACAGGACCTGGAACAGTGTCAACTGTGATGATATTATAAGTTGATTGAGGGATGTGAGGAAATAAGCTAGTTAGGACAATTTTATTTCTAACTTTGCTACAAATGTACCAGTTGTAAATGGTTTCTAAAACTCTTCTTATTAATAAAGAAGATTAAATATGTGACAACATCTATTTAGAGATGCTATTTTTAAGCACTAACAATTAATTTTATAATTATAGGTTAGGTAGTATTTTAGGCATCTTAAAATATTATCCTAGTATCTTGCAGACAAAATGTATAGTTTGATAATCTTTTTATTTAATTGATGCAACAGTTTGGTAAAGAAACAGACACCTCATTACAAATCAATAAGACATATATATTTTTACTAAATAAAATAGCATATGAAACAACAAAATTGTTTCTAGTAAACAAATAAGAAACAAATTACCTCTCCTCCGACGAGAGGAACGACTTTTGAGAACTTGGTCTCGCAAATAACGGTATCATCTTTAAGGATACGTTGCTGCAGAGCATCAGGTCCAAACATCTGTACACAATCTCCAGGACTGTCCGCAAAATACTGCCACGGAGCAAAAGTCTCACCGTCGTTGGTCGATCTTTCCAGCACCCAAACTCCTGGGCGGGGAGAATTCCCCATTTTGATGAACACATAGGCGACATGAAATTCCTGCAAAATATGTATGATTATTCCAATTGCCAACATGAACTCCAGTCATGCATTCAATAATAATCAACATTTGTCTAAAAGTGTGTAGTGGACCATAGAAACCCATCATGAGGAAAAATTCTTATAAAAAAAACTGCATGATATGGAAAAATTTTTTAGGGTACTTATCAGTTATAAGGACCACAGTGTTCTCCCAAAGCATTTTTAGAAGGGTGGTCTACCTTGCTAGCCCTTTGGTTCCTATAGCTGTGCCCTCTTTGCCTTTTTTGTAAAAATAAGCCAACATCCCTTAAAAACACTGCCTTTTTTCACATTATTCCATTTAAAAAAATTAATTCATTATTCAAATAATAATTACGCACTGGTAAAATTATCTGTTATAAGTTTAATTCTGATTACTATCATAAATATTCACTTGTAAGGATTATTTCAACTACTCATTAAATTTTATGTTTCTCTTTTTTCGGGGAGGGGGGAGTATATTAATCAATATTTTAAGTGCTATCAAATTTTAAAAACATTTTTTAAATAAATACCTATTTTTTTAAATGCACATTTAAAAGTTTATTTTCTCATACTTTTCAGTTTAAACTATCAACAAAAAAAATTTCAAGTTTTTTATCAATTAATCATTTTCTTTTAGTTTACTTTTTAGAAAAAAGATACTGTCTTTAAGTATGCTGTTAATTACTTTTTATAAACTGTTATTTTGTCTTTCATTTTGATTATGAAGGAGAATTACTTTTTGAAATATACACATAAAATTGTATAAGAGGGTGATTTAAAAATTGTTGAGGAGGATCAAATTCATTTAATGCATAGTATTTTACATTTTGATAAACTTTTACGGTGTCCTGTGAAAGTCCTTTCAAAACTTATAGTGCCTTTTTTTTATGAGGAAGCACCCTGCCCTTTCTAATTCCTAGAGAAAACTCTGAGGACCATGTGTTATGGTCAACATGAACACTGGTTCTTGTAACCTATAAGTAAGAATTTTATTAATAAATACGTTTCACCAGAAAATATCCCACATTTTATCGCTATATTTTTAACTGAATTAATTTATATCAGTTATTATTTTTGCTACCAAAATAAAATTCATCAATTATTTAGTATGTTATGATTATCATTATATAGTATCACATTTGCAATATGATCATTTTGATACTGTGTGTTATTGTTAATAATTAGGATATTCACATATTTGATAATTATAGTTATCAAAAATTATCACAAAAGAATCGATTGTTATGTAGTACTATTGCTAATTGTAACAATATTAACTTATTTTACACTCTTATTTGCATTACTTAAAATGGGGAAGACAAAACCAAACTTCTGCGTTGTTCTTACATCTCGGTGAACTTGACTTCAAGAGCCCTACAATTGATAAGTAGTACATATTTTTGCACTTATACCCATATACCCACCACAGCAGGTAATGAAACTTACTATGGTGTCGTACCAATAAAATCTCAAAATTGCCTTTTTAAAAAAAAGGGATAAAAAATATTGCATTCAGGGGATCATGTGGACCTCCTTACACATGACTTTCATAAAATCCTAACATTTCAATTTCTTATTTTTGACATTTTTTAAAAATCAAAGTTTTCGAACCTTTTGTGTGTCTGTGTAGTTAAATAGAGTTTAATAAAGTACAGGGCAAAAAATAAAAAATTGGATATTCTAAATTTTGATTTATTGGTAGAATTTTTAAGCATTAAACTGCAATCTTAATGGTTCAACAGGATAAATTTAAACAGGTAAATTAATTTGTATCAAATTTCTCAGAACAAATATACCTTATTTTTGACTGATTCAGTTTCTTGACATTAGAAATAGGAAGGATAACTGTAATCTGGAAAATAGGGTCCCAATAATTTAGTTTGTAATAAACCCTTAATAAATTCATTTTCTTTTCCGTCACATCTCTAGAACTATTTAGGAGAATGAAAAACTTTTTGCACATAATTATAAAGCTTGTTTAAGGACAATTTCATGCAAAAAAAATTTAAGACTGTTTATCTACATACAAGCGAAATATTAATTTAATAATAATTTAAAATATTTTGTGAATGTTAAAAAGTTTTATGCTAATTGGATTTATATATTTACTATGGGTTTCTGTTCCTACTCACCAACCCCTGTGACTGCTTAGCAATTATTTTTGTTTCTTTAAGCAGTTTGTAACATTAAAATTATTCAGTTAAAGGATTGCAAAATATTTCATTATGTGATAAAATATTATTATGGAATCCATACCACAAGTTTAATTTCCAATTTTATTTAGATAAATTTTAAGTCTAATTATTTTGCTCAGTTACTATAGCAACTTCTTGTGCAAAATTGTTTTTGAGTGTTCTTATTTAATTTTTGGTTTCTATAAAAATTCATTAATAGCAATAGTATAAAAAGTGAATACTTAATACTGCTTTAGAATTGGTAGTTATTTTGTATTCAAAATTTTAATTTCATACATTGAATGAATATAGTTTTTCATATTTTACTTAAAAGTGAATATAACTAATTAAGAAAGAAATAGTATGACTATGCACCATTTAATAAATTAAAATGGTGACAGCCTACAGTTTATCTTCCAGGTTATTTTTAATCTGAGATTTAAAAGCAAAATATTTATTACAGCATCTGAAGATTATTTTTTCTCACAGATATAAGAAACAACCTGAAATGTTATTAAGAGAAGAAACAGAAAAATTGTTTTTCATTCCCAAATTTGCTCAATTACTATTTGTTTCAGGGTTTTAACAAAATTTGTTTGACAATCTGCAAATATATAAGCAAATTTTTTGGGTATAATTTTTATCTACTTTATATGAGGTAATTCTAATTTTCACATACAGTTGAATTAGGGTTGCAGACAAATTAGAATTTATGAAGACAGTGCTGCAGATAGACTCAGTTGGAAACTAAATGTTTTTAACATAAAAATCTAATGAAAAATAAGGTAATAAAACGCCATTACTTTAAAATATAATAAAGAAACAACAATTTAACGTTTAAGTCATTAATTTCTTTAACGTATCTATAATCTACATAAAAAATACTGATAAAAAGGAGATGAAAATTTTTGAGTTAAAAGTTCCAGACTTAAGATCATTTGAAGTGGGCTCCAAAATATACTAAACGCTGCCGTTCGGAAACAGTCTAATTAAAAAGAACTGTCACTGGCGGTCACAGAGAAAGAGATGGATCAGGCTAGTTCTGGTTGGCTCGTACTCCACATGCATCAGATTTGGTGGGTCCCGCAGTGGACTGATCGTTAAGACACGGTTCCCAGCAGATCACAGAAGTCAAGCATTACTGGTTGCGGTCAGTGTGCGGGTGGGAGACCACTTGGACCACTGCGTAGGGACCGAGGGTGTGCGGTATTGGTCCTCGTTAAACTGTGCTACCGTAAAGTGCTCGACTTCGCGCGCAGGTCGTTGGGCTACCGAAGCGGGGGTGCCATCCCCTCTGTTGTTGTTTATTTACGTCGCACTAGAGCTGCACAATGGGCTATTGGCGACGGTCTGGGAAACATCCCTGAGGATGATCCGAAGACATGCCATCACAATTTTGATCCTCTGCAGAGGGGATGGCACCCCCGCTTCGGTAGCCCTACGACCTGCGCGCGAATTCATCCCCTCTGCAGAGGATCGAAATTGTGATGGCATGTCTTCGGATCATCCTTAAGGATGTTTCCCAGACCGTCGTCAATAGCCCATTGGGCAGCTCTAGTGCGACGTAAATGAACTACAACAACAACAGATTTGGTGGACATAATAAATAACAAAGCATTTCCTGGTTTATAAAAACCAAGATATCTATTGATTAATATGTACTGAATGATTTCTCTTTTTTTTAATGGCGGGTACTTGGAACTATTGTCCACTGGCCACAGAAAGTGCCAGAACTGCTAACTCTCTTTTTGTTACCCAGTGGGCACCTGTGGCGAAGCCACGGCGGTGGAGCAGCGTCGCCCTACCACAACCCGTTTATAGGGCGGGTCACATTCACACTCAAAGGAGAAAGGACATAGAACACAGATAGAGAAAAAGAAACATCCATGCCTTGTCTGGGATTGGAACCCAGAACCCTTCTGATGCAAGGACAGTTCCCTGCTCCCTGCACAAGCCGGTCAGCTGAATGATTAATATATACCAGTTTATATATTACTTTTTACTTTTATTGGTAATTTGAGAGATTTGTGTAGTAACCATTTACTTAAATAAATTGTTTGCTCTGTCCCGCACTTATTTCTAAAAAAAAAAAAAAAAAAAAAAAAAAAAAAAAAAAAAAAAAAAAAAAAAGAAGTAAGAAAAGAAAAGAAAGGGTGTAAGGTTTTGTTTTGAAATAACAACGACGCATACATATTTTCTATATTTAACATACAAATGAAGAAAAAAAAATTTTGAGATAAGAACTAAATAAATGTTCCTTCATTAATAAAATAATAATAATGATAACTGCCCTTTTTAATGAATAAACTCTAAATTAGCTAAATTTTCTTTTGTCTTTCTTTCTTTTCCTTTTTTTAAAATTTAACTGAATTTTTGTTACATGGATTGGAAAATTGCTAAAACCTTTCACNTTTAATCTATTTTTTTTCATTGTGTGCCGTCAAATTTCAAAATCGTTAAAAGTGTGCCGCCACACAAAAAAGGTTGAGAATCACTGCTTTAAAGTAACGCATTCTGTAGAATTTTAAATTACGTGAAAAATTAGGATAATGAAAGAAATAATAATAGAATGATATGCAAAGAATTGATTGAATTCTGGTTGAATTTTTATTTTTATTTATTTATTTACTTTACTTTTTTTCCAGTCGGAGAAATTTAAAAAAAAAAAAAATTCCATTATGAGAAAACTTTTAAAGAATACATTAATTTTTCCTTGTGTTATTAAATGTTATAACAATACTTATAATAGAGGGTAATTTTTCTCTCTTTCTGTTTTTTACTCCCTTTTACGTCCTCCATTATCTAAAGAGTTATTTTTCG